ACCAGTACGGAAGAAGATACGTCCCGTAAAATTAAGAGACTTTGTTGAATTGTAATTTTGTGTTGGTAATTCTGTACATTTTAATTAAGTTATTGTTATTGGTTTATTATATGTGGTTATTGTTCGGGACGAACAATATTAAGGAGGGGGCAGTGTTGCGTCAGCGAGTCACATGACTAGTGTGACGCCACGTTTCTAGAACTATCCCGTACCTTGGGAATGCTCTAGTATTTACTAGATATAGGGTAGTCTGGTATATAAAAGAGGGTGACAACGTGACAGGAGGATAATGTAATGTGTGTGTAGATAGTGAGTAATTGAACTGCAGTCAGAAGTATTGTTGACGTTCGTATAGCGTTTGTTATAGAGCGATTGTTGAAAATAAGTGTATCGTAAAGTTGTATTCGGAAAGAATAAACCAGTTTTATTAAGTAAAGACTTGTGTCGTTAAAGTTTCGTTGGAACGAAGTTACGAAAAAATCAATTAACAAACGGAGACGTAACAGTATCTTCACTGCAAGAAAATCTGTTAACTGCCAATTAGTGAGGTCATATCTTGTATGCCTGAAATCAGGGAGATGAAGCGTCTTCTTGAGCTTTTCCCTGCATCAAAACACAATAATTTCGAAACATTACGTCATAACTAAGGAGGTAGAAAACAAATGGTTCTGTCTTGTACCATAAGCACAAAGCTACACAATGTGTAATGGAAAGAATCAAACCTTTCATTTTAGCTTTATAGACCTAAAATCACACGCTTACCGTTGATCCAGCAGGAGAAAATCTAACTTAATATTTTGGGACAACATGGGACCTACTGGTCCATCTCAGTTGTTCCATCCTCTAAACTAAACTAAGTTCCTTTGTTTATTTGATTGTAGTTAAGCACAAAGCTACACAATGAACTATCTGTGTTCTGCTCTACAAGGGTATCGAAATCAGGTTTCTAGCGTTGTAAGTCCGCAGACATACTTCTGTGTCACTGGGGGCTAAAATAAACTAAAACTATTAATAAATAAATAAAAAAATATTAAGGTCAGCCCTTATCATTCATATACTTATCAAGCGTTTTCTTAAACTCACTTAAATTTACTATCTCCACAACATCTAAAGATAACCCGTTCCAAAGGTCAACCATCCTGTCAGAAAAATCTAACTGTCTTAGCTGAAGATGACTCCTACTCTGCCAAAATGTACAATTGTATCCCCTAGTCTTATTATTCTCACTGTTAAGTATCAAAAAAATTCCCTTTACAATATTAAACGCCTCAATTAGATCCCTCTGACTCTTCTATTTCAGGAGAAAATAATTTGAGATGTTTCAACCTCTCCTCGTATGACAACCCCTCCATTCGAGGCACCATTCTAGTAACCCTTTCCAACAATTTAATGTCTCTCCTAAGGTAAGTAGCCCAAAACTGAACACAATATTCAAAATGTAGCATAACCAATGACCTATACAATGAAATTATAATGTTACGTTTCTGGTCGTTCGTTAATTTTCCGTAAAAATTCTTTCCGAAGAAACTTTAGCGATACAAGTCCTTTCTTAAATAAAACTGGTTTATTCTTTCTGAATACAACTTTGCAATACACTTAATTTCCACAGTCACGCTATAACAAACGCTAATTGTCAGTGTCTATCTCTGTCTGCATTTCAATTACATTGTTGCCGTCACTTCTTGGCGGGCTTATATACAAGAATACCGCACATCTAGTAAACACTCGAGGCTTCACGAAGGGGCATGATTTTTCTAGAAGTTCATGACGTGTTACTAGCGTCACGTGACTTCTGCTGTCGTAACAATAACCTCTTTAGTCTTGTATTCAATACTTATGTAGACATAACCTAAAATTCTATTTTCCATACCATTAGCAACAGCATACTGCTTGGATGGCTTTAGAAACTGATCAACTATTACACCAAGATCACTTTTCTTTATAACAATATTAAAATTACTCCCATACAAATTAGATTAAGATGACCCACATGAATTATCTTGCATTTATTACAATTAAAACCCATTTGCCATTTATTTGCCCAATTCACTAAATGATCTAAACCCTTTTGTAAATCAGCAGCATCCTCTTCACGGCTAGCAACACCCAAGACCTTAATGTCATCTGCAAATTTAAGTAATTTATTGTCCATTCTTTCACCTATGTCACTGATGTAAATCAAAAAGAGCAAAGGTCCTAAGACTGAACCCTGAGGTACTGCCTTGTGACATTAATCCAGTCTGACTGAACTCCATTTGTAACAACCTTCGGCTTTCTTTCATCCAGCTACTCTTATATCCAATTTGCTAACTTATCCCCCACACCTATAGTTTTTTTACAAGCCTTTTATGTGGCGCCATGTCAAATGCCTTCTGAAAATCCAGCTATTACATCAAATCTACACTCTTACCATCATCAACATAAACAGTAACCTTTTCAAAGAATGTCAAAAGATTTACAAGGCAAGATTTTCCCTTAATGAAACCATGTTGACTATCTAATAAGAGTCTAAACTTAGACAAAGTGAAATGTAAATATGAACTATGAATATTTAGTGATTGATAAATTATATTGAAAAGCAACTTAATAAAAGTTTAAGACCGACATAGCGTTTTTTATCGGGTATCAAATGTTATTATGAAAAATCTCAATAATGGATTTATAAATATATAACAAACAATAGCGCCATCTAACTTAAGTTGTTTTTTTATATTACTAGGGTGTTTATGATCAACGGGAGCTAAGTAAATGTCATTTGTGAGTGTGAAATTCTGTTAGATCAGATTATCATTTAATTATTTTATTTACGTACTTTTGGAATATTTAAATATTTTGGAACTAAGTACCAAGTAAAAAAATAAGCAAAACTTATTATTATCTTTATATTTGGCTTAATCCTAGACTGTAACTAAAGTTACTCAAGTTACTGACTTTGCAATGTTCTATTCTAATACTAACACTAATATATTACTATTAACATAAAAATAAAATGATAAACACCTTTTTCAGCCAAATAAAGGGAAATGGTGTTGTTGTTTTATTCATTCATGGCTATGACAGAGGCGTGGGAATCGGGGGTGCTGTAGCACCACCACTTTTAGTTTTACATGTTTGAATTATAAGTTATAATATTATATATCAACTGTAATTTATATTATTAATATTACATTGATTTTCTGGGGTTCATGTCCCCGGATCTCCCTATATTGAGCTTCCCTTGGCAGCTTCTTATACTTTCAATCTCTCGTTGTGAAATCTGCAAGTCTAGCCAAGCACTCCTAGTTCTACTTTGCAACTATTTCCTACTCCTGTTTCTTTAAAGTTTAATGGTGGAGACAAACATGTAATATTTGCTTAGAAGTTAGATCAAGGGTTTTTTTTTGTTCAGTTTCCAGGCAGGATCAGCCTTATGAGGGTGTGGGGTCTGAGGCTAGTACTCAGAATTAGGTTCTCGAGTTTGGATACTAGAAGAATACACTTGACTCAGCCACTTAGGTGCGGGGACAGTGAAAGCATATAATCAGTATACTATAAGAAGAGATACCACATAAAAATTTTGTGCTTATCGAGTGATTGGTTTTATTTACATATATTGATACCAAGTTTGAAGTAAAATAACCCTACTACTACTACTACTACTACTGCTAATCCTGCAACAGTACAAGAAGTGCCAAGACCTATGACTTCAATGTACAATATCGACTTTGTCAATTTTCTGTAGCACTGTTATACCCTTTATATTTGAAAACAAGGTTCAGACGTGTTTTGCAGCAAAAAATGTGTATTAGAATAAAATTGTTTTGAAATTCAATATTCCAATCCTTGACATTCTCACTGTTACATGGCTCACTCTATTAGTATTAGTATTATGTTTACAGAACTTTATACAAATGTCTGTGAACAAATTAGGTAACTGAAAAACCTAATTTAGCATGCACTATTGATTATTTTGTTCTTGCATATGCGCTTGAGTCTCTGACTTAAGTATAAGTTGTTAAAATATATCTTGTTTAAAATATTAGGGGCAGAAGTAGCTGCAGTTGGGATTCAACAAAAAAGTAACATGATGAATGATGGGTTGAGTTTAGTTCTCTGCACTACTTGTAGGGTTACCCAATTAACAGTCCTGAGACTTGTTTTTCAATATAATACAACAGTTTTTTCAGTTCAGTGATACTGGTATGTCTAAATATTAAATAAATATTCAAATATTTTTAATACGATATGTCTATTGAGTTTTTATAATGTGTGCATGACAAGCCCATATCCCATGAAGCAGATTTTATTTAAAATTCTAATTAGGAATTAAATGTCTTTGGCCTACACAACAACGCCACTGAGAACACTGTCAATTACAACAATTATAATAACTAAATAAAAATAGGCCAAATATTCATTGTGTTGTAAGGTGTATTTTCAATATTTTAATTTGGACATTGGCTAGAGGGTGAATGAAATTAAGGTTAAGTAAATTTATGAGAGTAGACCTAGAACATGCTAAATAATGTCACAAATATCTAGTAAGTTTGTGAAGTATCTAGAAATGAGGTTAGATTATAAATATGAGAATCAGTGTTTTGCTTTCAGCAGGCAATGAATAGTGAATGAGTATTGAGTTTTGTTTTCAGCCATTCAGTGAAGTATTTGTGTTAGTTATTACTTTTTTTTTATCTCCTGTAGGTATTTGTTCCATGAATTAACTGAAAATGATTGTTTTGTACAACCAACTACAAATGAATCTATTGAACCATTTAAAGAAATTTTCTTTGATAAGATACATACATTATGCAATTTTATTTATTAATTTTTTTAAGATTAAACATGTACATAAATGTGTATTTATGTGTGTATTTGAGCATAAGTGATATGTATTTAAAAATAAATTACTTTTGTTACATTAAATCTTTAAAATTTATGCTGCTTAAAATATTTAGACAACAGAATAAATATAAATTGTTTTAAACTTGTATAACATATACATATGTTGGAATAATTGGTTCATGAGAGGCCTGAAATTGGTGCTATTTTTTCCTCATGATTAATGTAAAATTTACTAAGGGTCTTAGTTTTGCTATATGTATGTATATATTTATATAAAAGTAAAAATGAGTTCTCATTATCTTCCTTTATCCAAAAATCATATTTTGTTTCTTTAATACAAACTTAACTAGTTTCGTAACATCAAGGTTACTCAAGGTACACATTTATAATTTGCTGTAAACCATATATTTTATTTTATTTTTAATGAGAGATGTCCTTGATGGGCAACAACTTTCTGGTGTCACATTACAGTTTCTTAACTTCATCCCACATTCCAGGAATTCTGATTGAAATTTAATATGCTATATTGCTTGTAGGGTCAATGGATTGATTTAGGATGCTCCTACATTCAGCTCTTTGTATCTTCTTTTGTTTCTGTTCTGTTGTTTTGAGCTAACTAAGTTTTAATTCTCACTTTGATTTCATTTCTAAGTTCCAGTTTCCCAGCATATTTGATTTAAATATTAATTATGAATCAGTGCATGTGAGAAGTTGAAGAGTATGATACAAATCATACATTTTTATTTTCTAGAATGACTGCATATTGTGGTAGACAATTACAATTATTTATCCTAACAGTCTTACCATCTAAACTTTTCACATCTGCTTTGTTTTAATTTTATTGGTTTATAACTATTCTTTCCAACCCTCTCTCTGTGTAATAAGCAAGAACTAGCAGCAAAATGTTTTCAGTGGAGCTTAATGTTAGCAGATGTTCAGGTTATATGCACATACAAATCATGAGATTAAGCTATGATTGATCGGACTAAGCTAGTGAAATTTTAAATTTTATTTAACTTTTGTTGTCTAAGCTATGAAGGTTCTGATTTTTTACGTTCTAGTTTCTTTAATAAAATATATATTAATAAATGAGAAACATACATAAAAACAAATTTAGTACTTTTTTCTCTACTCAGGCTTTTTGCTGTCAATGCTGTGGCATACTAGCACTACCTTTTTTTTCACCAAGCTAGTTGTTTAAATAAAAATTATTTGAGCTTTCAAATGTGCATTTTAGAACACAAAAATATATTGGACACTAGAATAGAATGTTCTAGAACTAATATAATTTGATAGGCTCTCTAAGTGAACTATAAATAGATTAAAAGATTTCATTAAATTTTTAAACTTTTGAAGCTGATCTACAATAATCACAGGTCAAGAAAATGAGGTGAATTGTCTACCATGTTCAGCAAAAAGAAATAACTGTAATAAGATTTTTATAGTGAAAAAAATGCTCTTTCTGTTGGTAATAAACATGTCCATCATATAAAACCATGTGTTTAGGATATTTCCTTTGAAATCTGTGACAAAATTGGAGTTGCTTTACTGGATGGATTTGACTAATGCATTGATATCTCAGCAAATGAAGAAGTTAGGAGGCTCAAATTTTATGTGTTGCTTTTTCAGTTAGTGTAGTTCGTGTTTGTAATTGGATAGACATTCAGAAACCGGTGCTACTATAGCGTGAGGTCTACCGCCATATGTTGTCTATAGTGTGAGGTCTACTGCTGCATTATCCATCCCTCATGGATATCACACATTTCCATACATTTATTTTAGCAATAAACACTTAATTTGATACATTTTTATACATGTTTGATAGACCTGGGTAGGCGACATATGGCGGTAGACCTCACGCTATAGTAGCACCCAGAAACCCATATCAGCAAAGAGAGCAAATATTGTTAAAGGAGAATTTAGTAACAACTGTGTTGTGATTACAGAAATGTGAAGATTAAGAATTTATTTAAATATTTCCTTTTTTAAGTTAACAAATTAAAACTCAGATAATAAAAAATTGAATTATGAGCTACATTTCAATGTCAAGTTTATTGACATACATTGATAATAAAGTTGTTTAAGTTTTTGCTGTATCTACATGTTGTGACATGCATATTTTGACCTAGAGTACATAGTGTTAAGACTTCTACTGTTCAACCTTATGATTTGATCCTTTTGTGTTAACAAAATGAAACTGTGAACATATGTAGTCAATCTTGATGTTATTGATGGTAAACCCTTTTTTTTTTGCCTATGTCACAAGCCTTAAACAAAGCTACTACTCCTACACTTGTTAACCAGTAATGAATATATATATCTGGTTCCACTTCTATACTTATGCTAATAGAATTAACTCGCCTCTTTGTGTTAAAGCTCTTTGTAATAGAGGACTTCTTTGCACTTTTTATATTTGGTACACATTTTACATATTATTTACTCTTTGTCTGTACAAAATTAAAATTTCATGCAAATCAAACATAACGTTTAGCTGTTACAGTGAGAAGAATGATGATTTTTGAAGGATAATTTTTGTTTAGACTTGCAGAACAAATAGCTAATGGAATCATTCTGAAATTATTTACAGGATCTCAACTTAAAAATTGGCTGTTATCCAGTTTTTATCATATCTCAGTTGACTAGGGGTGTCCAGGCCTACAACAGCAAAGAATATACACATCTTGTTCTTCAGCCTTTTAGGCTTTGTTGATCACAAAAAGGTGTGATGATATCCCTTACAATCACTTGTGCATTCTGATTTTTTTAAATAGTGATATCTAAACCAAAAATAGCCCAGCTTTAAAAAAGTGTGGCCAAGAAAGAAAAAAAAAGATAGTGACTGAAAGATGTGAAATCTTAATTGGTGGCCAAGTCAGTGTATTAATGCTACTGATGACAATAAAAATTTTACAGACTCCTAAGTGAAACATGAAGGATGGTAACACAATTATATAGTGTACAAAGCATTGAATATCTACATGTTGCAGTTATTTAACGTTTATTTATTATTGGCTGGTAATTCCTGTTTCATCCTGTACTTAAGTTTTTTAAAGGAACACCAGATTTCTGTAAGAAAGATAACTTCAGGGTATAATGATAACATCATTTACACTAGAATTATAATACTTTTTAGCTTGTGTAAAATATAGAAAAAACAAATTGTCTTTTCAATGCCCCTATGACCTTCACAGTACCTTACTTAGTATTCTACAGTAGGTTTGGGAGCTATTTTTGTTGTAGGCTGGCAAAGAATAATAATAATAAGAATTATAAATGGAGCTGTTTTGAGCAGATTTTCTTTTCTTTTTAGGTCTAATGTGCTTTTTTTGTGCATTTTCATATGTGTACAGCCTCAGCAGTCAATACTGAAGGTTTTAAAGTGTTGTTTGAAATGAATCTTTACTGTTTAAGGTTCTATTTGCTTGAACATTCTATGCATGTATCTGCTTCTAAAGCTGAAGGACACTGGCAGCAATTATATTTATAAAAAAATTCATCAAAGAAGAAGTGTTACGAAGCATCAAGTAAATTTCTTGGACTTGCTTTTGAACCTGTGAATTGATCATACATGAATACTCACAATTGATTCATACTTTCTTGTCACATGTCATCTGTGTTAAATTTCTCATATAGACTTCGATAAAGAGTAAATGTAATTTATGCTGTAAAAAATAAATATTTATATAACCAGTGATTGCTCAACAAATAATTTCTGTAATACGTTTCACACAGTTTTACAAAGTGCAAATGTGCTTAAAAATATCTATATATATATGTATATATATGTTTTTACAATTTTGTTTTGTACTATTTTATTTATAGATGACAGTTTTGGGCCAGAAATGAAGTTACGGGAAGCACTACCAGAAAGAGTATATAATTCCATTATAGTTAGACTTGAGTTACCTTAAATCATTGTTATTCCTTTGAGGGACCCACCATTGATAATGGTATCAGTACGGAATGCACCACGTTTGACTCGACGTTATACACCATTTTTTAATGTACTTTTCTGCTTCATATTGGTGGCACTGGTTTTAGGGGGGCTAAGTACCTTATGGCCATGGAATAGTGAAACTCCAAAGCGTGAATTTGTGCTTCAATCAGAAGAATTTGCTCCTGTTGCCACAGTTTTATCTACAGATGCTTTAGCAAAATCAACAAAGTCATCCTGTACATTCTACAACTGTTTTGATGTTTATCGCTGTGGTCAACATGGCTCATCTTTAACTGTGTATATTTATCCCATTCTAAGGTAGGTTACATAGTAGCAGTTGTTGGTGTTATTGCCAGATTTATATATATATATTACTATAAATTATTTAAATCTTGTAGACAAATGTGTAGGATGAAAATCTGTTTTTTCTGAGATGATCCTTGAAGCATGAATTTTTGTGGTGCTTTCTAAAATTGCCAGATTTATATATATATTACTATAAATTATTTAAATCTTGTAGACAAATGTGTAGGATGAAAAAACTAGAAGTATCTAGTTTTTATCTGTTTTTTCTGAGATGATCCTTGAAGCATGAATTTTTGTGGTGCTTTCGAAAATGAATAATATATTTTGTTAAACAAAACATTATAAATAATATATGTTATATGAAATTTGTCATGATAGATCAGTATTTACATTATGGTGTAGTTTATTAAAAACTCTTGTATTTTATAAGTTTTTATGTATATTACAATGATTGTTATTTTTGTTACCAGATATGTTGATGAGAATGGTTTGCCAGTGATGAATGCCCTATCTAAGGAATTCATGGAGTATTTTGGAAGCTATTCAAGAAAGTAAATTCTATGTAACAAATCCTGATAAAGCATGTATCTTGGTACCTGCTCTTGACTTGCTAAATCAGAATAATTTGCATCTCAAAGAAACATCACAAATATTAGCTGGCCTGCCATAGTAAGTTTAAATTGTTTAATTAGTGCTTTATTTTCATTGTTATTTCTTATGTTTAGCAGTGATATTCAGTAAAGTGGTCACTTAGATATAAATTGGCTTACACTACAAGTTATAATAAATAAATATTGCAGTTTTACTTGTATTTCTGGAAAACAGCTACATGTATCAAAGGAAATGTGTTCTTAGTGTTTCCTTGATCCAACTTCAAGACTGTGTCAGTAAGTTGCATCCATATCCTGTGATTATTCTCCCCATGCTTATGGTAAACAGTATTCTTGAGTGTTCAATGTAACTGTCACTTTAAATTTTTACAGATTCTACTTTTCTATGATAGTCACTGTCCTACAGTCTGATTAAATATATTATGACTAATAAGACAGTCTAGCAGTCTGGTGTACCTATCAGTATGTAGTATTAGCTTAATGCCCTTCCCAACTGATTTTCTATTTTTTTGCACAGCATAACTTATTCTAACATGGTGGTAAGAAAATTACTAAAAACCTTTTATGCAATTTGGTCTTTTACCTGACACTCATCAGCAACTTCTGCTGTGTTTAATGTGAATCACTTGAAAAAGCTGAGTTGGTAAAGGAAAATATTTTAATTATATATGTGACATTACGGAAATTCTGTTATGATATAAATATGTGTTTTTTTCAGTTTTATGTTTTTTGATCTACAGTGGTTTAAAGAAAAATCTAAAAACGTTGTTCATGTTAAACCTGTGTGGGGTTAGTATTTATGTAATAAACTAATAAATTCTAAGTAAATTAGAAATATCGTAATATATATCTGTTTTTTAGTTGGAATTCTGGAATAAACCATCTCCTGTTTAACATGTTGCCTGGAAATGTTCCTAATTATAATCCCTGTCTGGAGGTGGAAAGGGATAATGCCATTGTGGCTGGAGCAGGATTGTCTACTTGGACATATCGTCGAACTTATGATATAAGCATCCCTTTGTTCAGTCCTTTGAGTCAAGACTTCCAACATGAGACAATAGAGTGAGTCAAACATCTTATTCTTAAGTTCAGCTAATTACTAAGAACTTTCTGTTTCAGCTAGTATTTTGTGAAACATCATTTCATTTTTTAAAAAAAGACTTGACATGTAATGTTTAGGAAACCTCTTTATAATAGATGTTTGACACCAAGTTTAACCATTAGATAAGTAGATGGACTATTTTAAAATCAACGTGTTTAAAAACTAGTTATTATGAATTATAGTTGTAATTTGTACATGAACTTGAGTTTAGGATTTGAGTATCTGTACCAATTTATGACTAAATCAAAATTTTCCGAAAGTTTTACTTATCTTGGATGTCTAATTAATTACTTTATATTTCAACACTTGAGGTAACATCAAACATAATATTTTCCTTTTTTAAGTGGAACAGATTTTCACTGGACACATGAAAAGCTGCTGTTTTTTTTCTTTCTTTTTTCAAACATTTTATTTTGTTTTTTTATTTACACGATAGAGGAGTTTAGCATCAGTCAAAGCACAGGCTATCCTCCCACCATTTATGGTGCCCTTAATTCCACAACTATTGACCACAGGAAGGCAACTGGCTTGTAGCAAACATTTTGACTTTTTACTTTATGTATAATTTTTTATTTAAATCTGTCCATATGGGTTGTTAAAATTGTACATCACAACTTTTTAGAGTTACACTCAAAATTTAATTAAACTACTGAATTATCAATGTATATGATTAAACTTGACATCAAAATATAGTTAATAATGAAATTTTAACATTATACAACTTTTAATTTCTCACTTTCACAAGGATATATTTAAATAACTTCTCAATTTCCTTTTGTCTGTTTAATGTGACATTTGTTTGCTTTGACTTGCCCATTTTCTATTTTTCATTACCCCTCTAAGATGTTCCTAGTTTAACATAAATTACTCATTATAGTATTGACATTATTAAGCGATAGTTTAATGTTTATATTCTTCATTCTACTTTATGTACGGAGATATAAACCACAGAAATTCAAACCTACTTGCCATGTCCTCTCTTTCACAAAATGCTAGTAATTATCTCAGACATTTGCCATTACATCATTTATAAACAATAGAAAGACAAACTTTTGATTTACTGAATGGTGTAAAATACCTTGTTTTCAGTAAAAAGTTTTAGTTATTTCAGCTATAGATTGAAAGCTAGTTCAAATCAAACAGTTAATGGAATTATTTAAGGTACTTATGCATTAGTTAGAAAGACAGTTAAATTATAATAGTTATAGGATGTTGTTTGCTTTATGCATCCTATTATTTTGTGTTTTTAAATGTATATTTAAAATAAATAAAAATTATTTGATGTTTCAGTTCCATCATTACAAAAAAAGTAGGCTTAAATTTGATCGGTAACTGACAGTAAAAAACAAGAGGTCGCAGATAAGTACTATGTTTATAAATCTTTCAACTAATACTCAAGTAGGAAAACTTAAGTCAGGGTTTTAAAAGCTAGTAATGTCATTTGATAAGTGTAATTCTAGTACTAATTTCTCACATAAGTGTTTTCAATATTTATTTTGAGCCATATATAAAAAATGTTACAACTTAGATCATCTGTATTAAGACTACCACTGTTTACATTGTAGCTATTAGCACTTAGCAGCCTTTGCCATAAGAATGATTCTTTTCATTATAGCTGAGTTGTAGTTTAGATAAAATATATAAATTACTTGTATTTAATGACAGTATCTTTGATAAAAAAAATATTAATATTGCATTTACAGAGGTGGACATTTACATAATGTGACACTTAAATCAAAATTTGTTTCTTGAAACCTGAAATCTTTGGTGAATCTGTTTCTACAGAATCAATGAGAGCCCAAGAAAGTGGTTGATAGTTTCTCCCCAAATCAACATTCATTCAGAGTATCGAGAAGAATTAGAAGAGTTGAAAGAAGAGCATCCAGAACTCCTTGTTTTGGATGAGTGTATTCCAGCTAAACCTGATAATGCTACAGAGAGATGTCATGATGGTGAGACTTACTTCTACCCATCCATTTTAAAGGTGATTTCAAAAATTTATTACTTTTGATTTCTGACTGCCAAATTATTTTATTACAAACATCACAATAAGATTACAATCAATCTTTAATATTTGACCCTTAACTGGCTTAGAATAAGTATTGGTCAAAGTTCATAAGTAAAGTAATTTAAAGCTTTAGGCTGTGGTTACATACGGCATGACTTGTTACTTATGTGCAATGTTAGCCTGTTTTATGGCTTCTTAATAGTGTAGTTTATTTTTTAAGTCCAATTGCTTATTTAACCTATTCAGATTATCAAGTTATTTCTACAGAATGTATTCTACCTGTCCCAGAAGCTTATATTATGGTTAGTTGAAACATTTTTCAATTTTATGTCAATGTAATATAGAAGTTTAGTGAATCTGAATGTAGTTAAATACAATATAAAAATATTGTTTTACATAGAATTCTACTTTCTGCCTGGTACTACAAGGGGCAAGACTGGCCCAAGCAACTCTCTCTGATGCCATGATGTATGGATGTATTCCAGTAGTTGCCATTGATGGATATGTTTTACCCTTCTCTGAAGTTTTAGACTGGAAAAGGTATATTATCTATTATCATAAACACTTTAAACTTTTTCCTGGGTAGGACAAAAGTTACTGTACAGTTGGTACTAAGGAAAATATTGCAAATACAATTTAAACCAATTTAATTATTGTTTGTGTAAGAGTAATATTTAGAAATTAAGTGTGTGCTGTATGAAACAACTGTATAGTTACTTTTTGGTTCAACGATTTACTCGAAGACACATGATCCACCAAGAGTAATATTTAGAAATTAAGTGAGTGCTGTATGAAACAACTGTATAGTTACTTTCTGGTTCAACGATTTACTCGAAGACACATGATCCACCAACAGCAGTACCGGTGACTACGTGGTTGGTTTGGGCCCAGTGGGGCTCGTCTCTTGAATTTTGTTCATTTTTGGGGACCTTTTCTCACCGGTGTGTTGGTTTACAGAGTGCTCTCAGAGGGATATGCTATCCCCTTCCTCCATTATTTAGTGCTCCCATTACCTTCCCTTCTCCTCAGTATGCCAGCATCTGTCAAAGGCAGTTCAGGACTTCATTGCACAAAAGGCTATTGAACCAGCTCCGCCAGGTTCATGGGGGTTTTACTCCTGCCTGTTTATGGTTCCAAAGAAGACTGGGAACTAGCATCCTGTCATAAATTTATCCTGTCTCAATCAGTATGTTCACACACCAAGGTACACATTTCCAACGCTTAGCTACGTATTCTTGTGGCGGAGCATTCGTGTTCATATCTTCGGTTTGTCCATCTTGGGCTGTGTACCAGTTTTGCACCTTACGTTTCGACATAGCCTCAACATATACATGTTTTGTCCTGTGTTCCACTCCTTTCTTCGGCATATTCGTGTCATGGAGTTGCGCTTTCATGTTTATATGGACGACTGGCTTCCTCTTGCTCATTCCGAACAGAAATCAGCCTGTCACACACTAGTCAGCTACTGCCCGAAGCTGTGCGGGTGGGCTGGTTGGTCAAGTTGGTCCAGTACTGGTACTGGCCCATCAGTACCGGTGGTACAGGTACTGGTTTATAGTATATCAATGTTGAGAATAATATGTATTATCACATTTCCCATCTTTGGAGTTTGACCGATTGCCACTTCTGATATTTCAGATTTGCTTTTCACAAAATTATAAATGTTTGATGTGGTAGTTTTAAGATCATACTTCAGTTAATAAGCGAATCTCATCGTGAAAATTGGCAATAGCATGAAATATGGGAAACTAGTGACCCCCACGCTCTAGAAGAGAATATGAATGTGCCTATGTGACTGATTGCACTCTAGGTAGGTCTGTGCGTGATTAACCCTCATCATGTGGGCAGGTCAAACTGTGTATGACAAAACGTTTTAGTGAATTACATTAAAAATTTAATTAAACTTCTTAATTATCATGATATATGAACAAACTTGACATCAAACCATAGATGATATATCAAATTTTAATATTATATGTTTCAAGATCTTAATTGTATAAGGAAATATTTAAAAACAACTTCAAAATTTGGATATTTGTTCTTGAGCCATCTGCCTGTTCTGGGTTTTTTTGTCCACCCCAAGAAAACTACAAATGTAACATAAAATATTCTTTATAATTTCATCATTGATATCCTGAAGCTATATTTATATATTTATTTGGCTAAAGAGCAATCAATGGAAATTCAGAAACTACTTTCCACACCTACCTCTGATATGTGTTAATTTACAATTTGCTAATAGATTTTTCTGAGACTGACTCCCAATAGAAAGCCTAGATTTCAACTGATTCATTGCCATAGTCATCATACCATGCAGGCTTACAGATAATTGACAATTTGGTTTGATGTGAAAAAACATTTTCCCATGAGAACACACTGGGAAAAATAGTCAAATTTCTAACTGCTCAAGTCACATGATTAGAGATGCTTGAGTACCGGTACTGGAAGTACCTGGTCAGTACTGGTACCTGCATCCTGGTACTGCCAGTACTATTGAAAACTGTGGTAGTAAACCAAAATAAAATGTAGTAACATAAATTTTTTTTTTCACACATATACCAGTGAACTACTGATGTGATAAATGCATAGAGAAAATTATACTCTACTAACCACATGACATTTCAATCTGTGTGTTTAGTGTGTCATAATGTCTTAATGATGTAACGGTTTTCCTGTACACTAGTAAATATCTGAGATACACCACTGTAATCACAAGTATAATCATTAAGCAATGACTCATAATATTTATGTGCTTTGAGAAATATGAGGAAGAGACGTATTCATAGATCTTTGGACGACTCAAGCCTGAATTTAATTCAAAACTTTCTATAGCATACCATTCTTACAATTAAAGATACAAAACCAAGCTAAATAATTTTTTCTCAGAATTTAAAATGATTACTCACACGTTATATTAAGAGTATGAGTTATCACTTAATTTTTGGAAATTAAAATGTTGTTGATGAGATGAAGTAATTAATTACTTTTATATCAGTATAGTAGTCTTAGAAGTCTAAAACAATTATAATTTTTTGTGAAGCTGGTTTTCTGTTCATTTGTATAAAGACAAACAAATATAAAATATACATGCACACATAAAAACATGTTTAGAAGGACTTGCATCCATTTACTGAAAAAAGAAAAAATCAAACATACACATGATTAACATTATCCAATCGTCCGTAAAACTATTAAATTTACTAAGTGTATTATCACAAAATTTAGCAGGCTCTTAGCAAATATTACAAGTCTAGTGTACACAAAAAATCAAATTTTTTAATTAAGTATTTCTACTAAAGGTTTATCTGTGAATTTCCAAAGTCTTAATTAAGTCAGTCTGAGTGAAAAGCAATTTTCATCCTAGGAATAGAAATACATTTTTCTTCTTACAGTTTTAATATTTCATTTGCGAAATCCATCTATGAAAATGTAACAATTTGAATATCCAGTATAAAATCTTGAAGCTTTTACAAGCTTGAGAAGAAAATACTAACAGGGTTTCTTTTGATAACAAACTAACAATTTAAGTACAAATGAGAGAAAATAGGTGCATGATAACAGTGAAAAGTAATGGATTATTTAAAGTAACACAGAACCTTTCTGGTTTTCTGTAGTAAAGGTAATTATGTTTCCTATGATTTGAATAATTTCCTTCAAACAGAACAAAGTATCATCAACAAACCTAGGGTATAGAAGTGACTTAAAACGTTTAAGATAATAAATTAATTAATTGTTTCTATAATGTAAGAATAGAAAATTAAAATACTGAATTATAAGCTATTTAATTTTTTGCAAATGATTTTTGTTTCCCTTCTTTAGCTATTTAGTTCTACTCAGTAATGGAGAAAATTTCACACATTAGCTGATGTGCATATTCTGCAATGTTAAAATTTCCTTCTGGCTGAACAACAGTACAAATTTCAGTAAACATTAAAAATGAACAGGCTACTACACTACTAATGCTCTAACTTTTGCATGTCATATAGTTATTAAAATACAATAAATTATATATATATACAAAATTCAAATATAATTTTTATCAAGATAATATAAAATTTGATGATAAACAAAAACTTGAGCATTTGTAACTTACTATTCTGCATGTCTCGAGATTCAAATTCCTGGTTTTTGGTTTCTTTGAAAGCAAATTGTACTAACTCAGTTCTTAGTTTGTAATTATTTGTCAGATTTGAAGGAATAGAAATTAATTTTCCATTTTTTTTATTTCAGAATTCTATTGATTTCACCTAGATTTAAATAATTCTTTTATTGCCAGTACATAGAATACCTACATATACTCTGATTGTGGGCTTCGTGAATGTGCACTTTATTTTCTGATATGTTACATTACCTCTTCTCACATGTATAGCTATACTCGTTCATTGCTACCCTCTATATCAAAAAGGTTTTTTGCATGTCACAAGCCTTGAACTCCCATGTACCCTACAATCAACATGGTTCAACTGGGCCTTGCATTTAAATCATCATGTGACAACCCTCCACCAGTAGGAGTGCAACATACCCTTCTGATGCATATGACACCCTCTATTTGATTCTACCAAACTATCACTTCTCGTTAGGCAGTAATCGAGTGCAGACATTTAACAATTGTACTCTTTTCATGTGTTCATTTTTTTATTTTTTGCAAAGTAGTGATTTACTTGATTAATTCCTTTGTTACAGTTAGTTTCAGAAGTTTGTGTTTTACAACTTCTGATATTATTACCACTACTTCAAGTGCCATTACTGGCTTCAGGTCTGGGAGTTATGACTGGGGATTTTTCTGCTATAATTTGTCAGGAGATTGATCATTATGTGAGGTGTCCTTTTTCTCCAAACAATGTTTGGGTTCCTCCTGCATTGTTCAAATCTGTTCCTTCCCTTGCATCTCCTATGCGATCTGCTAGGCCTAACACTGCCTTTCTGTATATGCTTTCTCATGTGTGTTCAGTTTTCATATGATATTGTTCCTTCCTTTTTTACATGACATTCATCATTAAGGCCCCATGTTTTCCCTCCTTCCCCTGACATCAGGGTTCATACTGGGCATTCTGTTTCTCAGTTGAGGACTAGTGTTAGCTTGTCTTGTCCTCAATGAACTTCTGATTGGTTCTTCTACAATTTACCATGGAGTCCTTTATCACACTCAAGGGTTTTTTTTTCTCCAGAACTATGGATGAACAAGGTAGATGTCTGGAAAGCCTATCTCCATATTCATATTTCTCATCAGTCCAGATGCTATCTTTGGTTTGTCTGCTACAAGGTTGTATACAAGTTTTGTGCCTGACCTTTCTGGCTTGTTTCAGCATTGTGTGTACTTTATTGGGTAGTTGCAGCTTTTGCCCAACTCCTGCATGCTCTAGGGTTAAGTTTACAAATTACATGGATGATTGACTCCTGTTAGCTCATTCCAAACTGGAGTGTTCTCAACACACACATATGCTGCTGACAGTAGCAGCTTGCGTTGGTTGTTTTCAACAGTTGGTGAAGTTTCCTTTTGCCTATCCACTATCTTATCCACTTGGGTGTCTTTTTCAAGACCCTCTCATTTGGGTCCATCCTCCTCCACTTATTCTCATTTTGCTAGTGCTTTCAGTTCTTCATGCATTTAATGTTTCCTCAGTTTCTGCACAAAAGGTTCTGTCATTTTGAGGACTTGGGCTTCTATGAAAGCCCAAGTTCCTTTTGGTCAGGTACATAAGCGTTATCTTCAGAGGTTTCTGCATGGCCCATGGAATCTTGCTAGGAATCCCTTGGACTCCCCAATTACCCTTCCTCCTTCCATTACAGTCTATCTGCATTGGTGGTTGAACAAGGATAGCACAACGAAGGGAGTAATGCTTCCTCCACCTCGTCTGGATTTGAATTGAATCACAGATGCTTCTCTCCAAGTTTGTGGAGTGTTGGTCCATTAGCAATAGGCTTTTGGGCAATGGTGTCACATCGTAATATCTTACCTTTTCAACATCTTGTAGCTTATGGCAGTATGACATGCTTTGGTTCATTTTCTTTCAACAGTACAGTACCAACACATCATTCTCCATTCCAGCAATTCCACCATTGTGGCCTACTTCACTCATTATGTGGACACCCATTACTGTTTTTATGTGGTCGAACATTGAATTTCCTTTATACACTGCAGATAAATCTTCTTGTTTTTCATGTTCTGGGGGCTTTTCACCTTGTGGTGGATCATTTTTCAAGACTCCATCAGGTTTATCCCACAGAGTGGTTTCTAGACCCTGAGCTTGTCAAACTTAGGATTCGTATCCCGCTCAGTGGTGAGATTTGTCTGTTCAAGTGTGCTTCCTATATCTCAAATTTGCACTGTACAGCCAAGAAGAAATAATAAAACACAATATTCCCATGGCCAATAATGCACGCTGTTGAGATGAGTGTTCCACAAGATTGCTAGTAGGTTTTTCCTTGCAATATATTTGTTTCATTAATACGCCCATTCCAGACTCTACTAACCCATAGTCTCACAAGGGTAAAGCAGAAGTAGATAGTTGCCCATCCCTGCTGTCTCTTCGATTGAATAAATCAGGAGCAATCTGCTTTTTAATATAGGGCTTTTGTGGTCACCCATTGCACTGACTCTAGTGTTGGCATTCCTCTGGACTCTCCACCATGTTGGTCCGGCATGGCCAGATGTTTAGGGTGCCCGGGTTCGAATCCCTGTCCCACCAAATATGCTCTCCCTTTCAACCGTGGCAGCATTATAATGTGATGGTCAATCCCACTATTCGTTTGTAAAAGAATAGCCCAAGAGTTGGCGGTGGGTGGTAATGACTAGCTGCCTTCCCTCTATTCTTACACTGCTAAATCAGGGATGGCTAGTGCAGATAGCCTTTGCATAGCTTTGTGTGTTCTGTCCCCCTTGTTCTTCGAGTGGAGTATGGAAGTCTTGCTACTTTCCAGTTCCAAGCTGCTTGGTTTTCGACTGGAGTTAACTGGTTGTGTACAGTCTGTTGTGCTCCACTCTACACCTTAGAGCACATCCATTTTAGCTTTCCTCACATTCCTGTCTGAAGATGATTCTTCCACACTCTTTTTTCATTGGGATTGAGATTCTGGTATATTGTGGTTTGGATCTGAACCCAACTGGTTTTTCTCTCCCTTTTGGTTGTGTTCCTCCCACTTTCTGTCCATGTGTGTGACATATATTTACATGCTGGGTGCAGAGTATACCTGGTACAGAAGTGGTACGGTCTCCCTATGGGGATCACACTTTATGGGTGTTCTTTGGACTATTCCAAAGGATACTTATTTTTATCCTTTGTAGGATTCTAGCTATACATGTGAATGAAAATAATGTACTGTCTTGGAAGTTATTATTTTCCTATACTGAAAATATATTTCTGATAGGTACTTACCACCCTTCGTCCCCACTGAAAACCATTGCTTTGCTTTTCAGCTTTATCTTGAAGTGATAGTTCAGTAGAATCGAATAGAGGGAGTCACATGCATCAGGAGGGTTGTCACATGATGATTTACATGCAAGATGCAGTTTAACCACATTGATCACGGGAGTTCAAGGCTTGTGCCGTGCAAAAAAGTATTTGCATATAAAGGGCAGAACTGAATGAGAATAGCTATACATTTGAGAAGGGGTAAGTACGTATCGGAAATATATTTTCAGTATAGGAAAATAATAACTTTTCTTCAGTCTTTAAAATTACCTAAAAGCTGTAAGAAGAAATAAAAAGCACTGCAAAAACAGTACAATAATGAAGCTTTATGTAGGATGAATTAGTAAATACTTAAGTTTAAAAAAAAATCTTAGCATTGTGCATACTTATAAAGAAAAAATATGGAAATTAAATGCATTGTAAAGTTTTAAACCTCAAGTGTTGACTTCATTTTTTCTCTATTATGTCTTAAAACACAGGCCTTTTTATATACTTCTGTTATGTTTTTTTGTGCTTGTGAAGCTTTTTTGGCTGATTTTACATTCATGAGAATTTTATCTTTTTCTTTTGTTGTTGAAACTTATTAATTATAAAATGACTCAAGCTGTTTAGTGTTTCAGTCATCAAAGGTTGCCACAGGAATATATATATATATATTTTTTTTTCCACCAAACATAATCTTTAATGCTTTGTGATCCAGCTCTTATGTTTGAATGATATTTTAAAGTTTTCAAGCTGATTGGCAAAATGTGCAGTTGTTAAAAATATGTGTGTTTGCTTAATGATTTGACACATTAAAAAGTCTACATACATTACACACACAGTAAGAGCTTTTTATTATTGTGCTAAATGCATACAGAGTCAGACAATTCCATGTAAAATGTACAAATTGATTACAGTCTTGTGCTTATAGGGTAGCAGTGAGGCTTCGTGAAGACCACCTACATGATTTGATTCACATTCTAAAGAGTATATCAGAACACCGTATTCTAGAGATGAGGAAACAAGCACACTTTATTTGGACTCAGTATTTTTCTTCCATTCAGAAAATCACACTGACAACCTTACAGATTATTAACGACAGGGTGTTTCCACATTTTGCTCGAACCTATGAAGAATGGAATGATCCACCTTGGAAAGTAGGTTGAAATTCATTTCTCCTTTATAAGTTTCTCTTTGTTTGTCTTTTAGCCATGAAGTGATTAAAAAGCCAAATTGAAATACATCTGTTCATATAGTCCTTTTTAAAACTTTATTAGACAGAGATACAACTAAGTACAATGTATCTGTGTGTTTTTCTTATAGCAAAGCCACATCGGGCTATCTGCTGTGTCCACCGAGGGGAATCGAACCCCTGATTTTAGCGTTCTAAATCCGTAGACTTACCGCTGTACCAGCGGGGGACAAGTACAATGTAATCTTATAGGTTTTTCTCAACACTTTCTAAACAATCACATTACTAACATTGACTGAGTTTAGACTGAGTGAGATATTACAAAAAAAAAAGTGGGTTGTTTACTTTTTTATGCTAATTTCTTTATGAAATATAATGAAAATATTGAGAAGATTTATTAACATATTCCTCAGCTTTAAACATTTTTGGGGGCATTTTTCTTTGTTAGTTGCTTATTGTCAAACAGGTTGTTAATAATACTCCAGGGTATTACTGAACGAAAATAAGAATATATCAAAAAATTGAAGTTGTTTGAGTTATGAATTAGACATTTTTCTGTTAAAAATTACAAGATTGTAAAAAATGAAAATAAGTGTCAGAGTATTATATACATTTTTGCACAGAATTTTTCTGGAATATGGTATTCAGTGCTGTCACTTTTCAAAATTTGTTACACTAATGAATATTTTATAAAATCAAATGCAATCAGCATAGACTGACTAGCTTTGGTTCCATGTGTGTGGATGTGTGCATACAAACTACAGCCCATTAAAATTAGTATCAAATACAGTAATTTGACTGTCATGAATATATATATATTTATTACAAGAGATACAATTTCTGGTATGCTTTTATAGCATTTTTAGAAGTGAGTGATATATTGAGGTAAACTTGCATCATGTCATCTTGTGGGTACTTAAATTTGCTGGTAAAAGTTCCAACAGAAAACCAGTGGTGAGATGTTTTGTATGTGATAAGGCTTTTAATTTATTTAATGTAGGTGATGGAGATTTTTATCACATGCAACTTAGACAAAGCACACTAATAATGGAGGAAGAAAAGCTTTTTTAAAATTACTGATCACAATGTTTTTAAGCAAAATTGACATGTGGCATTTATCATTGATACTGACATTGCTGACACAAACAGCACCTATTCCAACCACATCACATGTTGATCATATGAAATGAACTTAAAACAGAAGCAACAAAGGCCGAAATAATGAGGGGTTGAATGTTTCTTTTTACTTAAGTAATATGAAGGAACAGAGGATGTTTTGTAAACTGTGTCCTGATAACAAAACTTCACGGAACTTCACATTTAGTGAAAGTGTGCATATTTAGTCATATTTGGTCTCGGATCACACTTCCTGAACATACTCAGTTTTGTCAAGAAATAGGATGCATATGTACTTCTTCTTGTTGAAAGCATGAATTTGAAGGCAGAAAAGTTAGATTTCATTACAACTTTGAGAAAATGATAATGTTATCACACATTATATTGAATGAGAGTTTATGGGCTATGCCATTGCCTCTAACTTACATGAGTGCTTAGTTTAACATACAGGAAAAATAGGGTTTTAGAACATGTTGTAATTGTCTGTGGATGACCCAATGGTCAATCGAAAGTTTCTTGACACATTACAAAAAGACATAAAACTACAGTATAGCACCACCTTATTAAATATTGATTTATATGTGCTACACACAGTACATGATGCTCAGTTCCTTATTCCCCTATTAAAGGACATTTCTACCCATAGGGAAGACTGAAATAGTGGTAAAGACATATACATTTCCCCACAAGTTTGTCAAACACAGATGACTTGAGAATGCTGTTGTTGCTGAAAGTCACAGAAATATGTATCAGTATTGAAATGTATGTTTCTAGTGTAAAAAAAATAGTAGTCTGATGTTACTAAAAATGTTGTTATTATTATTATTTTATGCAAAGCTACACTGCATTCTCTTAATGACAGAGCAAATAAAGGAATTTCTAACAATGTCTCAAAATGATCAATCAGTGATATCTTTGCTATTTCAAGACTTGGAAAGATTGATCCATAAACTTGTGGACAGATTTTTCAAAATGATGTTTTGAAGACAGCTATAACACCAGTAAAACTTCTAATAGATATCAACAAAAAAGAAAAACCACAATAGCTACTTAGACATTGATGTAAGCTTTGATGCCAACATTTTGTTTAAGAAATTAACAACAAGTTAGGGCATATACAAATTCTTAAATTCAAATTGGAGACAAAATAATTTATTTTAAGAATGGTAGAAAGAGTTCTCAATGTGATAAAGCCTTGCACAGAATGAAGGTTTTAGAGAGAGATGTGCAATTGAGTTTGCAATAGTTGACAAAAAAGAAACATTTTTCCAAGACTTAGAAAATAGTGTATTTGGTATCAGTTTTAACACATGGTTAAGCAGTTGTCTAGAAATGATAATTAAAAGTATAAAAGAGCTTACACTGATTGCATTAAGATCTGGTGGTGAAGTCCACAATGTAGCTATCACTCCACAGCAATGCACACTCCAAATACATGGAATATCTAGACAAAGCCAGAAGAATGTGTCAGATGAGAAAAAAATTAATTGTAAGAAAGTGAATGATAGTGGTGGTATATAGGGACTTCAGGTCAAGAAGTAAAAGCTGGGAGCAGAAAAGTAAAACAAAATTGAGCTTGAGGAATTGAGCTAACAGCTATTGGATAAGCTGGCTCATCCGTATTTACAGCATACTATAAAATAACCAAACTAGTGTATATAGTGTAAGGTGACCAATCTTGTGTAAACAGTGCAAGTAACATTCTTTTTTATTGACATTATCATGTGAATAGACAATTCTAATAAGCAGCTAGTTGGCATTTCATACATTTTCCCAGAATACTTAGAAAATAATTGTGTTTTTTTTATTTTAGACTATTAGCCACACATTTTCTAAACATATGTAAACAAACTTACTTAAGCCAATATGATCATGGACATTTAAATTTTTTAACTGGAAAAGGGAGGCACAGTGTGGCCCTGTGGTAGATCTCTGGATTTCTGAGCTGTTGAGCCTGGTTCAAATCTGTGGGATACCAAAAAATATTCCCAACACTTTAAGTTGTGGGTGGATTATAAAAGTGACAGTATGCTTTAGAGTGGATGGTAGGGTACTGTTGGTCAGTAGCTCAAAATTAGGGACAGTGGCAGATAGTTTAAGTAGATTTGGACTAAATACAAATGCATCTGAACAAAGCCTGGGATTTTGTTCTTCATGGCTCTTATGAAACATATAAGTAATGTTATTGGACTCCAAGTTACAGATCCTTACTTGAGAAGTCACTGATCAATAATAATTTATTATTATATTTTGGAAGCTCAGACGAGCTTCTTTCATCTCTACAACTAAAACTAGTCTTTTTTCTTTAAGCATTTTACTGAAAATTCTTTTAGAATTAATATTTTACAACTAGAGCACTTTAATTTGGTGTATTTCATAGGAAAAATTAAAATAATGTCCTAACTATCATTTCTGCACGGCTTCAAGAAGTTTTGTGTGTAACCAACATATCTAAATTTTTTAGAATTTCTCAGCTTGATCAATAAATCTATATTATCATCCCTTAGAAATATAATAATCCATGTCTTGTTTTTGGAAATATTTTCCTTCTCTATCACTGGATTTGGGTTGTTAGGTCTTTGGATTTTGGTTCTGGGGTTTGAATCTGTGCAATATCAAAAAATATCTCCATCCACTGTGTTTTAGCTCTAGTTGTATTAGAAGCATGATAGTCAATCCATTACCATGGATGGTAGGATGCTGCTGACTGGTTGCCTTCGCTCTAGTCTAATTCAATATTAGGGACAATGACAGCTAACCTTAGTAGCTTTACTATGAATACAAAATGCAAATCAGTGGTTTTTATAACAACATCTTTGTGTTGCCATAATTTATGATGACACAGCACGTGGTCTGAACAATTACTAATGAAACTCAGCTAGAGCCAAGAGCTAAAATTGATTGGATTAAAAATATTTTAATCTATGTATGTCAATATAGAGGAAATAAAGTGGTTTTATCAGTAACTTGTGGATTGTCGACACATTTGCTACCGAGAGCTCTCCTTTAGGTGTGAACAAAAAATCGTGGTGTGAAATTTAAAACATTTAAATTACAAACCACAAATCTGGGAATTTTTTTATAATTTCTTTTGATGTTCTTCCTGATAATGTTTAAAAGCTACAGACATATTCTTTTATGACAAGACATAAGTAAGTTTAGTTAGATCTAGTAAGTACTGAAAGAAGTAGTGTACTATTTGGAAAACACAATTTATTAATTTTTTTATTGGATATATTGTTAACTTATTGTATTCAAACAACACACACAAGTAAAGTAACTTATTACTTATTGAAATCAAACTACATTTATTAAATGTAAATGGATCTTGACCGAGAATATTATTGGCAAAAATCATATTGTATCTAACAAAGATAATGGTGATGCCATTTTGAAAGGTGAGGTCAGTGATTATTCACTTTGCAGTTTTTTGTATTATTTATAGTCAGAATTTATGTTTATTTATGTTTCATTCAGGAAAATAAAGCATAAACAAATGTATTAATAATATCAGACAAGTGGAAATTGACTGGATATATAAAATAGAACTTTCTGATCAATAATAGTAAAAATAAATTAAAATTCTAAGATGAAAGGCAGTGTTTTAATGTTGTTTCAAGATAGTGTCTCAACAAAAGATTGGAAGTTTTACAACCTAAAAAGTTATAGAAAGACAAAATCCAATTATATATGAATTTTCTTTTAAAGCAGAAAGTAGATATTACAAATAAAGTTTGTATTAAATTTCATGCAAATTGGTTAAGTATTTCCAATGAGAATGGGGAAAAAACTGGGGAATATCATTGATATACACCTGGTCCAAAAAATATAAACAATACAGAAGTAATTATACCTTCTAAAGGCTTAAAGTGTGTAATTTTGGGAGTAAAAAATATGAAAATATGCCTATTAGATCTGATACTTTATCCATCCAGTTTAGCATGTATCTATGTTTTTGTAGTTAAAGTGATATATTTTTGAGTTAATGATACAAAACTGTTATTGTTGTATGAATGTGAATATAAAAAATAGTTAGTTATTAATACAAAAAAGTCACTAATGATCTATTGGGCTAACCCACTGTTAGTTTTATTTTAACATCTTATGATTACAGAATGTTCTTTTTTTTGTTTCCTCTAACACAGACACAACACACACACACACACACATATATATATATGCCATATTGATAGAGGTAAAAGCATTTTATTTCTATTTTTTCTTCATCTTCCAGAAAGTTATAAAATAATGAATATGAGAAAAAAGTAGGGACGAAGATTTTGTATTATGGTAGATTCACTGAGTTTTTTATTTAACTTTCTTAAGGAAGGAACAACACCCCCTTTAAACCTACCTGTCATTGTTCCAAAGTCTCAAGGATTCACTGCTGTTATCTTGACCTATGATAGAGTGGAGAGTCTATTTAAGGTCATTCGGCGTGTTGTACAGGCACCAAGTATAGCTAAGGTTCTTGTAGTGTGGAATAATCAACAAAAACACCCACCACCTGGTATGAATTTATCTCTGTTGAGTAACAATGTTTTGTGTTCTGTATTACTTTTGGGTTTGTTACTGAAATGTTTTGGCTTAAATCTCTTTCTATAAACTCTAAGTATACACAGTGATAGAATATAAAGACTGACAAATGGATAACATTTCAAATGACGTGCTAACTTTTTCCAAGCATGTTGTTATGTGAGGGATTTCTTTTAATAAGAACCTTTTTATTATTGTATATTTCCCTATTTTTATTCTTTCCGAAACAATGAGATCTGATCTTAACGCAGCTGTTTTCAATTGAGTGCTAAGTAGATTTGTCACTCATTGCATCTAAACTCAGTGAAAAAAACTGCTAGGTTTTGAAATGTTAAATCATAAGTATAAGTTCACCACATAAATACAGTGTGTCATCATGGCTTAGCTAGGTGACACTAGCGGGAAAACTCATGCTTTATATACAAAATTTTTTTAGTTGTGGTATTTTGGATCTGAATGCACAAAGTTTATAAAATATAAAGGCAGTGCCATGTATTTAAAGTAATTCAAACAGTTAAGTAACTTGCCCAGAATACTCACATACGAGGTTAGGTACTTAGAGTTCTGAATGAATCTGATGGCAATGTGGGGCATCTCAGTGTCTGTGAGGTTAAACCTATTCCACAACACTTGAAACCCACCAAACATCTTTAGTACAAAAGACACTATGAACTAAATGGTCTGATAAAAAATGACAAGCTGATTGACTTATCTATTAAGGGTTACTGGATCTGACAATGTTTTTAAAACCTGGGTATTGGGGGCAAGTATTAAAATTCAACAGGGTGACAGTATGAGTTCTCTAAATGTTTCTAAAGAAATGAAGAAACTCAAACACAGAACCTTATCACATAAAATCCATTCCCCAAATATTTTATCCTTTGTCCACTCCTCTCTTATACATATGGTGACATTACTCAGTCTTTCTTACTCCCAATTTTATTTTTACATAGTGTAATTAAGTTTAAAAATCTTCCCAAATGCATGCACATACGTGTTACTGTTTAAATCGTATAGATAAAGCAATGTAACTTACTTGCATACAATTAATATCTTTCTTTGTGATGGTTAGTAAATCTGGTTATCTTTCAGAAACACAAGTATTCTTTTTTCATTAGTATTAGACATTATTATTCCCAAGTGGCAGGCTAAATTCTAAAATGAATCCTAATAAAAAATAATTATGTATTTTAGAAATTAGTCAGATTAACCAAATCTGCCTCTAAAACATTTTGGGTTTTCATCCATATAATTGACTTTGATCAAAAATTAAACTGTTAAGTAGTAGGTTCATAAATAGAAAAACTTAAAGTACAAAAAAAAAAATAGTGTGCAGTCTTTCTGTATTTGTATAAGTGTTTGAAATTTTGAAAATCAAACTTATTATAAATGCCATTGTATTAATACAATAATTTAAAGCATGAGTTTTTAAGTACATATGTTAATGGATTATGAAATGTGGTAAATTTATAGAGGAAAGTATACTCTTTAAAGTAAATCACACTTTAGTCTGTGTGTTCTCTGTGTTATAATATCATAATGATTTAATGAGTTTAATATACAATAATAATGGTGTGAAGTATACTGTGCTAATTACAAGTTTAGTCAATGATCCGTCATGTCAAAGTGTTTTGAAAAATGTATGGAGACATTCATATGCTTGGTTATTTATTTATTTTATTTTTTTCATCAGCAACCTCTTGGCCTAAAATAAACAAGCCCTTGAAAGTGGTCCAAACAAAAGAAAATAAGCTAAGTAACAGGCATGTTAAATTATTAATTTTTTCTCTTATAAAATTTATTATTATTTTTACCTTTCCTATGTCTAAAAATTGTTTTTATTAATATTTAAAGAAAAAGTATACCCAGTAACAAAAGTAATGGAATGTCTATGCATTTAAACTGTTGTATTTACAATTTTAAAAGAAAAATTTTGAAGTGTAGTTGGTGCATTCTAAGTTACATAGAACAACTGTTAGTACAGTTGAGAAATGTGAGAAATAAAGATTGTGAGGTTAATCTAGAGTAGAACTAGTCAGTTAACTCTTTGATCAATGATGTTATGTAAAATAATAGGTTAATTGAAATCATTATTAATGTCACAAAAACTTAACCAATTTATCAAAGTTAGTTTTTGATTCTTATTGTTTTTGGTTATTTGAACTATTTAAGTAATTGAAACATTGGCATTAATATTCATTATTATTTTTAGTTAATTCTAGACTGTTCAGCTTTATTGATTAGTGTAATGATTTGGGAAAATAACCTGCTAATTGAAATAACGGTTTCGTGTTATTACTGTTTTTGATTCTTCTAACTATTCATATAATTAAAATATTGTCATTATGATTTCTCAAATTCTCGGTATTAAATTTTTGATTAATTCTTGGTCTGGTTATTAGGGGACTTGCCTAATGATTCAAGAGTCTTGGGTTTGATTCCCTTTATACCAAACATAATGCAGCAAACATGCTCGATCTTTCAGACATGGGGCATCATATTTTTTTCTTTGTTGATTAGTTATATCAAAGCTATTAAGGCTGTCTGCCAACTGTTCTAATTTTGAACAACTGACTAGATGGAAGGCAACTATTGGCAGTACCCACCACCACCAACTCTTGGGCTGGTTTAGTTAAGAAAGTGTAAATTTACAATTAAATCTTTCAACCTGAGCTCAATCCTTGGGACTGACCTCGTAACCATTTTGTGCTTGTTATAGTTTTCATGCTATAACTTCTTTTAAATTAGTAAGCGAATGTTAACAAAATTTGTCAGTTTATCGGTAAACATTACAATGTTTTCATATGCAAAATATAAATTTTTTTTATTAAGTCTTAATATTCATAAAGCAATGTTTTTCTCATGTCTTTTTTTCTTTTCGCGTGTTGTCTGTCTATCATGCAAAGTAAT